GAAAGGGGGAGGGGGGGGGGGGATTTCAAAGATCGATACAACCAAGAAGAGACAGAAAATTTCAAAGATCGAATAGAACTAAGGAAGGTGGAATTGCAAAGATCAATACAATTGAGGTGATTGATAATTTTTTTGATCTAATAAAGAATTTCAATTGAGGTGATAGATAAATATACAAACAAGGATGATAATGTAATTATTATTTTTTTACTAGAGGACAAAAAAGAGAAACCTTTATATTATAGTTAAGATCATTGTCTCTCCATTCCTCATGTCATTAGGGTACGTACAGCCAATTTCTCCAGAATGGCTATTGACATTTTTTTTCATCATGATTTCTCTTGTTTATCAGCATGAACAATTTTTTTAAGCATTATCTCAGCACATAACAAGCACTTAATTTGCCCATTACTAGTTTTCTTTAACTCTTTTTTTCCCTTTTATTTTAGAATATCTATATCATTGATTTTCTTCTGTTTACCTGCCTTGAATCCTTGAATTAATGAATAAAGCAATCACGGGACGCAATTCATGTGAAAACTTTGATAGAGAGAACCATACCGCCGTCAAACCTTGTTTACCTAACTACCGTCGTCAACTCTACGGTGGCGATGGCCACCACGGATACTGGCCAACTTTCAATTGAGGGAGGTCAACCTTTTAAAGAGAAGCCTTCATATGAGAATGCCCTTTGTCCAACCCCCACAAACGTCAAGCCTGTACAACTTAAGCCGGTAACGTACTTGCACGGAGAGCCAATAGTCTTATGGGAGCAAGAAGAAGTAAATTAGATGATTATCAATGAAAACCTTGAATATGCAGTTATTGGGAAATTTTCTTATGGGTGGCCGGAGATACAAGAATTGAGAAAGCTAATCCCCAAGCACTGTGAGTTAAAAGGTGAATGCAATATAGGATTACTTAGTAACAGACATGTGTTGATCCGGGCAACGCTTCTGGAAGACTATGTGCATCTTTTGTCAAAGCCTGCTTTCTACATCAATCAGCGGAATTGTTCCTTCCCAATGAGAACCCTGAAGTGGGACCCTATGTTTAATCCCGAGAAGGAAACAACCACAACAATAGCCTGGATTTCATTCCCATCTCTTCCGCCAATTTTTTTGGCAAATAGTCTATTTTTTCCTTGGCGGTAGTAGTTGGTAAACCATTACAAGTGGATATGGCTACAAGGAATCAAACAAGACCAGTTGTGCAAGGGTGCAGGTGGAGGTAGACCTATTAAGGGAATTCCCCAAACGCATCAAGATAGCGGTGAAAAAGACTAGCGGGGAGCTCATGGAAAAGTGGATCAAAATTAAATATGACTATGTGCCAAAATATTGCAAGACTTGTATGATACAAGGTCATGATATGGAACAGTGCTACCTGGAGCACCCATAATTATACCCAAAAAAGGAGTAAAAGGAGATGCAGGCAGAAACAGAAGAGGTAGATGGAACAGAAAAGAAGGAACCAAATAAAAGTAATTCAGAAAAGATGAACATGAACAAAAGAGAAGAGGTGGACAATCAAAGGCGGAAGGAAAATGCAGGTAGTGGAGCAAGGAAATAAAAATGGCGGATGAAAAAAATAGCCTGAACAAATATGGGGTAAAGTTCAGGTACCAACCAAATATCCCTTTGGGGCATTGAGTAACGAAGAACATGTAAGCGAGGAAGTGATGGAAAATACAAGGAGAGAAGAAGAAGATCGACATGAACTCTCCAAAGACCGGTTGGAGAAACTCTCGGGTAAGCAATGCATATCCCAGGGGACACAAAGACGTGACACCAATAGGGAAAAACAACAGCATGCAAACGCCAGAGAAAGTAACTAAACCAGTAGAAGTGTCCAATACGATGGGAAAAAGTCGCAATAATAGGGAGGAATTACAAGAGTATGCTAAAGAAAGTTACGCACAACCACAAGCAATCATGTCAGAAGGAATATAGGAGATGAACAGGCCGGTGGAAAGCATAGCAGACCTTCACCTCAAGGAAGCCCCTAATTTAATAGATGAAACAAAAGATGAAATACAGCAGGGGAAAGATAGGGAAGAGGAGGAGACCATTGACTTCAACATTCAACAAATCAGCAAAACTGGTGATTTGTCAATAAGGTTCACTAACAGTTTGAAGGCAAAAAGAGGGAGGACCATCATCCCATTACAAGTCAAAACAAGAAGTAATAAGGAACGCCCTACAATTAGTTATCAATGATTGAAAAGGCCATGTTTTGGAACATAAGATCTGTTAACACCCAAAATTCCTTTGGGAGATTAATGGATTTAAATAGAAGACATCACTACTCTTTCATAGCACTAATGGAGCTATTTCAGGACCCAACATATATTGATCAATTTAAAAGAAAGTTAGGTTTTGACAAGGCCCTTGTCAACTGCTCTGGTAAAATTTGGATTTTTTGGAGAAACGAATGGGAGGAAGATGTTGTGCTGAACTCAATTCAACAAATTACCATGAAGTTTAGCAAAAACAATAGCATTTTCTTTATCTCGTCAGTGTATGCAAGATGTTATAGGGTGGAAAGGTTAGAATTATGGGAAAAGTTGAGTAGCTGTGCAGAAGTCATTCAATCACCCTGGATGGTAGGAGGCGATTTTAATGTATGCTTAAATGAGTAAGAAAAATTGGGTGGACTAGCATTTACTCAGCAGGAAGCAATGGATTTTGCGCAGTGTATTAATAGTTGTGCACTTTTGGAGGTTCCTTTCACTGGAACAAGGTATACTTGGTGGAACGGAAGGATTAAAGATGATTGTATATTAAAAAAATTAGATAGAATTTTGGTCAATCATGAATTCTCAACTACTTTTCCAGCCATTAGAGTACAACAATTTATTCGACAAAGCTCAGACCATGTTCCTCTTCACGTGGTATGTAACACAGAAGTGGAAGCCCTGCTTAAACCTTTTCGATTTCTTAATTTTTGGGCTAAGCATGAACAGTTCAAAAGTGTGGTACAACAGAACTGGAACATAGAATTCACAGGCAGTCCTTTCATGGAAGTTAATGCTAAACTCAAAAAGGTGAAGTGGGCTCTGAGAAATTGGAGTAAAGAAACTTTTGGCGATATCTTTCGATAGATAGCTACCATTGAAGATATGATAAGAATTAAAGAGACTCAATCCCCATGGCGGCGAATAGGGCTGATTTGAGCAAAATGGAGGCGAAGTTGAAGAAATATCTCAAGATTGAGGAGCAATACTGGAAATAAAAGGAATGAATGAGATGGTTTAGAGAAGGTGATTGTAATACAAAAAAATTTCACTCTTATGTGAATGGTAGAAGAAAGAAGTTACATACATCAGAGATCACAAATGAGAGAGGAGAGAAAGTTCAAGCAAATCAGCTAATTGGTGAGGCAGCGGTGGCTTTTTTCGTGGAACAATTCCAGGAAAATGAGTCCAATCAGGATTTCACAATACTAAACCACATTCCTAGGCTGATTACTACTGATGCTAACGAGGCGATGACAGAACTGCCAAAGGAAGACGAAGTGAAAGGTGCAATTTTTGAGCTAAATGGCGAGAGTGCTTGTGGGCTGGATGGTTTTTCAGGCCTTTTTTTCCAAAGTTGCTGGGAGGTAATTGGGGCTGATATAACTAAATTGGTCAGAGCTTTCTTCTGCGAGCAGGATTTGCCCAAATTTATTACTCACACCAATTTAATACTACTGTCCAAGAAAGAAGAGGTGAAAACATTCTCATATTTAAAACCCATAAGTTTAAGTTGTTTTATCAACAAAATTATTTTGAGAATGGTACATAACATAAAAGCAAAGGTGCTCCCGAAGATTATTTCGCCAACCCGATCAGGATTTGTGAAAGGTAGAAGTATTAAAGAAAACGTGTTACTGGCACAAGAAATCATCAGGGATATTGACAAAAGAAATTAGAATATTAATGTGGTGGTGAAGCTGGACATGGCAAAGGCTTATGACAGAGTTTCTTGGATATTTCTAACGAAAGTCTTGAGAAAATTTGGGTTCTCAGAGATCAGCATTGACATGGTTTGGAGGTTGGGGTCGAATAACTAGTACTCGGTGCTGATTAATGGTCAATCAAATGGTTTTTTCCAATCATGTAGGGGCTTAAAGCAGGGAGACCCCCTATCACCTACTCTATTCATAATTGCAGCCGAAGTACTGGCAAGACGGTTGAATAATCTGCATGAAGATGAAAACTTCAAGGGATACAGGATGCCCAAGTGGAGTCTTAAAATTAATCACCTCTCATACGCGGACGATACCATTCTATTTGGCTCAGGGGACATACATTCAATAATACAATTGATGATAGTGTTAAGGGAGTATGAGAAAGTCTCGGGTCAGATGATTAATAAATCTAAAAGCTCTTTTTATCTTCATGAAAACACACCATTGATAGTTGCAATTAGGTTGAGAAGAATTACAGGGATCAGGCAAGGAAACTTCCCTTTTACCTATCTTGGGTGCCCAGTTGTTTATGGCAGGAAGCGAAAGTCTTATTTTGAAGAGTTGATAAGAAAGATTGCTAGAAGAGTACTGTCATGGCAAAACGAATTCCTCTCATTCGGTGGCAAGTATACTTTAATCAACCATGTGCTTCAATCTCTTCCAGTGTACCTATTATCTGCCATGAATCCTCATAAAAGCGTTATTAACCAAATCCACCAATGTTTTGCAAAATTCTTTTGGGGAAGCGGAAGCTTAAACGGTAAACACTGGGTAATATGGGAAGACATGTGTTTACCTAAAGATGAAGAAGGGTTGGGGTTCAGGTCCCTCTATACTGTAAATGATGCACTATTTGCAAAGCTTTGGTGGCATTTTAGAGTCTCAACCACATCTCTATGGAGCACGTATATGGGGAATAAGTATTGTAAAAAGCTCCATCCTGTGTTAGCTAAAAGTGTGGGGTCTTCACATGTATGGAGGAAAATGGTGGCCATAAGAGAGGAAGTGGAACATGACATTTGGTGGCAAGTAAAAGCTGGAAATTCCAGCTTTTGGCTTGACAACTGGACTAAACAAGAGGCATTGTATTATACAGAAGGTGAATCTGCTAGGGAGGAGGAAATAGAAGTAAGAGAGTTCATTACAAATGACACTTGGAGGATAGAAAAGTTGAATGAGTACATTTCAGAAGAGATGGTAGAATATATCGTGGAGAGCATCAAGTCCCTCACTTCCAAAACAAATGACAAAGCTTGGTGGATGGGAAACTCAAATGGGATTTTTACTGTTAAATCTGCATATCATATTTTGAGGCAGAGAAGACAACCATTGGAGTGGAGGAGTTGCATGTGGATAAAAAGAATATCTTTTAAGATATAGTTCTTTTTGTGGAGAGTTTGGAAGAAAAGAATTGCCACGAATGATAATCTAAAGAGAATGAGGATGAACATAGTCTCAAAATGTTATTGTTGTGACAAAGGGGAAATAGAGGCCATGACACATTTATTACTAACAGCTCCCATAGCCCAACGGCTATGGAAGCAGTTTGCTTCTTGTGCAGGTATTACCATAGCAGGAGAATAATTACATAATATGATTATGCAATGGTGGGAATATGATGCAAATCCTAAGGTGAAACACATAATGAAGGCAATACCTGCAATAATTATGTGGGAACTATGGAAGAGGAGGAATGCAAATAGACATGACAAGGAAGTCTCTTTCGACAAAATGTACACTCAATGTCAATCGACAGTACATATGTTGATAAGAGTTACATATCTTTGGCTACGAAATATCCCTTACCATTGGTCGGGGATGCTTGATTTACTCCGGCAGTATAAACCAGTTCTACACTATCACATAGTAAAGTGGTTAACGCCAGAGGAAAGATGGATAAAGTGTAATACAGATGGAGCTAGCAAAGGCAATCCAGGAGAAAACTCTTATGGATTTTGTATAAGAAGGAGTCAAGGAGACCTAGTATACGCTGAAGCACAAAAGATAGGCAATACAACAAACATGGAAGAAGAAATTACAGCAATCTGGAAGGCACTGAGCTGCTGCAAGAGGGGTGGGATCACAAATGTCAGATTCACGAAGTCTTTGGAATATGATTCAAAGAGAATGGATGGTACCTTGGAGCTTAATAGAAAGGATATAGGAGATACATGACATTATGTCTACACTTAATATACAGTTAGTGCATATATTTATAGAAGCTAATCAATTAGCTGATCACATCACTAACATAGCTATCAATCAGGAAGACATGCAATAATATCACAGTTTTTAAGATCTACCAAGCAAAGCAAGAAAGATCTTAAACATGGACAAGCAACAAATACCAGCTATCAGAATAAGAACAAGGAAAATCAATATCAGCAACAGAAATGATATGTAGAGGAGAGACCACAGAGACAACAGAATCACTTAGCTATTACATTTACAAAATAATTGTGGTCAAGACAGGGGCAATATAGCTAAGCAAACACATCTAGTTAGTCACATCTACTTCAACCAACAAAGAGTGATATCACCAGCAAAAGGGAGAATCGTTGAACCACATTGTCATGGATTTAACAATGTACAGGCTACAAAAAATAGAGTTAGAAGAGGAAAATAGCGCAAGTAAATACGGGGTGCAAAACACTTACTTGTATCTTCAGAGAAAAGCTCGCACAAGGGACCCTTAGAAACATCTTCAGCAACAGAGATATGAATGGAAGAGGCAGCTGGGGAATTAGATTAGGAAACTCTATGTTCTAGGGGATTGGTTTTCACCTGAGATTTGGTCACTTTTGGACCGACCTCTTATTTGCTGCTTTTGTTTGTAAAGGGCTCATTTTGAGTCCATTTGCCTTTAATAATAAAATGGACCACCGGTCCAAAAATTACCAAAAAAGAAGACCCTTGACTTAGTGGTCAGGAGAAAACTCCTCGACCAGTCAACTATTATGATCAAGAAGGCCGATTAATTTTCTTTAACTCATATCAAGGTTTAAAGGGTTTTTTTTAGTATCAATTTTGTATGATACCGTGACATAAGAAAAATAGAAAGTTTAGACAATTAAGGTTTAAAAGTTTTTTTTAGTATCATTTTTTTATGATACCGTGACATAAGAAGAATAGAGAGTTTAGATAATTATACTAAGACAAATTAAATAAACTACCAAGGAAACCTCATAAAATATAGAGGTAGACTAAATGTTCATTTTATTTCAACAAAGTACGTTTCATGAGTTCACAATTAAATTGACGGCTACAAATAGTCTCATACCAAGTGTCCTTATACTTTATTGTACTTTTATTGAACAACTTGCAGTATAGATTTCCATCATTTTGGCCGTTCAACACAATTTCTTAAACTCTCATTTAATGTGCACAAGACAAGCACTTGCATTGTACATTGGTGATTTTAGAAAGTTGTTATCAAGGTTCAAAAGGTATAATTAATTGCAGTAAACAAGAAGATTAAATTGAAATTAAGATACATACAAGTTGTAATAACTAAATTTTAGTCTGAAATCCTTAAAGTACTAATGTGAAATAAATATTGATGCCATAGAAAACATCATCCATGATCCCTTTATGAAGGAGGATGAGAACCTTAGGATCAACGACATCTACCTAAATGGCAAGTGAAACTTCGAAACTACGCTTTCCTTCCCTATCCATGAGGAGCTCCAAAACATCATCATGAGCTACACAATTCCTTACAAAAGTTACAAGTAAAATACATTCATCTCAGGGCTAACTAGTAATGGTCTCTTCTCAGCTGGAAGTGCTTACCACTACATCTAAAAGAACACTCCTGTCTACCAAGAGATTCAGACTGTCGACATAATCTGGTCTACCAGGACTCCAAACAAAATCAATTTTTTTCTCTGGTTATTCCACCATGATAAACTTCCCACAAATCACTCTCTCCACCAAAAAGGCCTCAACATTACTCCTCACCGAGTCTTCTGCAACTCCCTGAACAAGGACACCAATCATATGTTCTTTGTTTGTCGCAACTCAACCAGATTCTGGGTGAGCACTCTTAGGAACACCTCCACGGTCCAGAACCCCAATCCTAATACAACCAACACTGAAAACTGATTAAACCTTTGGACTATCATGAGATATAAACCTTTCAACAATAGAATTATTTGGGGAACTCTCCTTTCATTCTGCTTTGGAACATCTGGTTGATTAGAAATAACAATCAATTCAATAACAAAAGAGACCCCATCAGTTGTGACTATGTGATCAATGATGAAATATCACTTAATGATTGGCCAAAAGAGGACAACCATAAAAGGGAAAATCAACATACATGTTAAATGGAGCTTCCTGAAAAGGGAACCTAGAAAGTAAACATTGATGGTGAAGTTAAGAACAACCCAGGCCAGGAGGAATTGGGGGAATTCTTGAAGATCACACAAGTCGATGGATTCTGAGCTTCATTAATTACATTCCCCACACCAACCATGTTATGACAGAGCTCCAAGCTCTCAAAAGGGGTCTAACATAAGCGGTAGATTATAATCTTACATTTTTAGTGATCAACATTAATTCATTTGACGTCATTTACATGATTGAACAAGATCAATTACTCTATAACAATCTAATTGTTAAGTGCAGATCACTAATGCAGGAGCTGGGAACTCTGAGGATGTCTCACACATACATGGAGCATAATAGGATTGCAGATTGGTTGATAAAGGAAAGAGCAAAAAAGAAGAAGATGTTTTTAATGACCTACCATCTGATCAACTCCCCCAGTGTATGCTTACAAAGAATGAGAAGAAGACAACCTTGGAACTACCTATGTTAGACTAATATCTTTTGATGATACTATTATCCAGGGCCAGTATGTGGACATTTAACTCCTAATGTGTACCCCAGATAAGGAAGCACACTCAATCAATCTTACAATCTTTTTTTTTTAATCGCTCATTTTAATCTAAATAACATTTAAGCATTATTTATTAACTCTAGAGTGGCAATTGGACAGGTTGGGTTAAATTTTGACGGGTCAAAATGGGTCAAGACCCAACCCAACCCAAATTTGTTTGGGCCAAAATGGGTTGGGTCAAAACGGGTTAGGCGACGGGTCATAACCCAATCCGTCCAATATTTACTAAGTTTTAATAGCTTTATTTGTTATTTTATAAGCTTTTAGTACCTAATAATTTTTTTTCTTTATTATAACTATATATAACATATAAAATCAAAAAATAAAATAAATTAAAATATTTTGACAAATTTTTTCAAAAATCAATTTGATTACTTATCAATCTAATTTTTAATGGGTTGAAATAGGTTGAGCTAACAAATAAACGAATAGATAACCAACCCAAATCTAAATGGATTGAATCGGATTGTACATGTTGAATTTAATTTTGCCACGCCCTAATTAACCCATCAATTTTTTACATTATCAAATTTAGCTAAACGTTTATTTGACCGCCTTGATCATACTGTATTATTTTTCCATCCAAAATACTAGGCTTAGTTAAATTGTGTCGAGTTAGTGAGTCGAACGCCGACCTCAAAATCCTCCGTTAAAACTTGTTATTGTTTTCCCCAATTTTTTACTGCAGAAGTGATAACTGCACGAGGATTGATTGAATTGTTTCAACTCTGGCTACAAAGATTCAGTTGTATGAACTAGACTAGATGGATCCCGAGGTTTTTATTCCTTTTTACACTTTTCGTATGCATCTATTTTATCCTTGAGTTTTTGATTTCTGTATGGACATAGATAGTTTTTTTATTGATTTGGGATCTTCAATTTCTGTTGATTTTTCTTCTTCTTTCAATTTATTGTGGAAATATGAATTTGTCTATGATTAATGAATTTGTTTTTGGGATACCACACGTCTAATTCGTCTATTTTTGGATTGAGGTGTTGATTGGTATTCTGGAGAATTTGAGAGTGGATTCTCTAGTGTTGATATAGTAAACAGTGGTGAAATAAAGATTCCGTTAAGATTTGATAATAACTCAGATGACCAAAATAAGCCTTTTTTTTTTAATGATGACCATGGTGTCCGGACCAGCTTTCCCTCACATCGATTAATTCCACGTGATATCTGTCACCTCCTACTAGTAACATGTACAAGGTAACTCTGTCCACCAATGCTAGGATAGATGAGAAGGAATGACTTAGTGTTTCGTCTCCGGTGGGATTTGAACCTGAGATCTCATGGCTCTTAATGGCTTCATTGACCACTAGGTCACACCCTTTGGGTGCCCAAAAGCAGCCTTAGGAGTGGACTTGTTTCAAGTGTTGGACCAAAAGCAAACTCCTTTATTCTATTCTTTGTTCATTAGCTTTTTTTATTACGATGGTTAAGGCAACACACTTGATACTTCTTTTATAACATGTCCGAGGAATTTGTATCCAAGTGTTTTTTCTAAAATCATTGTAACATCATCTTCCTGTCTAAACACACTTGATACTTCTTTTAGTATCAACTATATGAATGTGAATTCCATTCAATGCAGGTTGGATTGAGACTACTTTTTTCTCCACTGGCTTCTAATATTGTTGTGCGGACAGCATGGTGAGCTGTTATTTAATTTTGTTTACTGGAACTATTGTTTACGATTATATGAGAACTTGTTTATCAATTAAAAGTATGATTCTTATTTGGGGAAGGTAAGATAAGATTGCTTATGTAATTGTTGATTTGTTGTTATTATGGGACATTTACAGCTGTTCTGTGGGGGTTGTTTTACCTGTTTATTCCACATTTAAGGCAATTGAGGGAAGAGATGAAAATGAGCAGAGAAAGTGGCTACTGTATTGGGCAGGTTTGTACTGTTGTTTATTTTCTTTGCTTTCTTAATGTATTTCTTCTTTGAGTATACAACAACAACCGTACGCTATTTACTTTTACTTAAGATGCAGTCTCTTATCTTTTTTCTTGTTTTTTTCCCTTTAGTATTTCAAGTTTCTGTGTAAAACAGCTGCATGTATCCCCTGGTTAGTTAATATATACTTCTTGTTTAGAAGTTGTTGAATTTAGTTACAGGGTGAAAAGAACTATCAATTCAACAAAGAACTGTTTTTAACCAAAAATGCAACATAGAACTGTTTATATGTTTTCTGGAGGGATTATGGAGAAGATATATTTAGGCATCTAAATATACTAGAACATTAGAATTTTGTGTTGCAAGTCATGGATGATTACTACTACTATTTTAAAGCAACTATTGAATTTTACCTACAAACAACCTAAAAAACGATAATGATTGCAGTGATTCTAACAAACAATATGTTTGAATTTTGCAATAAGTTGAGAGACTAGAATTTTCATACATGTTAGGTATATATGCTTTCTGTGGGAATTTATTGGGATTCACTTTTATGTAGCATACCTGCTCAGATTGTATGTTCGTATTATAATGTTCAGTCTAACTCCTTGATAGTTTCTCTTCATGTACCCTTGGGTTACCGAAAAATTTGGTTGCATTTTCTTGGACATTCTTCTTAGAACTGTAAGAAGTTTCTTTTGCTTGCAGCTTATGGGTCTTTCAGTGTTGTTGAGTTATTCACCGATAAGTTTCTCCATTGGTATAGCTCTTTGCTTAACTCATTTTACTTTTAAACCCTTCTAATGTTACTGCTAGTTTAATCCTGTTGATGTTTTTTTCCCTTCTAATTTTATCAGGTTTCCACTTTATTACCACATGAAGTTTGCATTTCTTGTTTGGCTTCAACTCCCTACTACTGATGTAAGCTAAAGCAAATTCTCTTTTCCTTGCTTTGCCCCTGCTGTTCTCTATTCATCCTTCTCTGTTATGATTTTGTTTTCTTAAATTCTCCCATGTAAAGGATTGCACATAATCATACTTTGTTCCTTGATTGAATTTCTCACTACTTGCAATTTTTATTGGCAAATATCAATGTTTGACACATCGGGGAATGACACTGCATATGGTAGGACGACTAAAATAGGAGCAGCGGGGGGAATGTCACAACCCAAGAATACTCCCTAGTCGTCACATGATGCTTAAAGCCACAAGTGACCCCAAGCTAACCTTATGGTTTGAAAGCCTCCACTAATATGAGTTTCTAGGACAACCCCTAGCTAACTCCAACTGTCTGAAAACTAAAAGAAACATAACTGAAATGAATAAAGGTAATGGTCATCCTCAAAGGATGAGGACTCATCATATACTGCTGCTACGTTGACTGGAATCTGTACTAACCTCGACCTGAGTGCTGAATGTCTGAGCCTATATTATCAAACAATATAGGCAAAACGTATGTGGTCTCTTTGAATGTACTAAGTATGTAGGATAAACATGATAAACATAAATATTGAACATGCTGAACTGAATAGACATACTGATGCATTGACCAAGAAGATAACATAAAATCTGATAATATGTTGCACTGAAATAACTGAATGCTTGGTCATGCAATAACTGATAGACTGACTGTGGGAGGTAATACTAACTGACATATGACCATGTGAATTACCACATGGAGTTTGATGTATAATCCATATCAAAAGGGCTCAATACACTTTGCCAAGGTATAAAGGTTGATCTGAGCTAAGCTAATGTCTATAAAGACTAAGGAGCCGCCTCAACTGATGGGACACTCCTTAAATCCTACGGTGACACGTAATTATGGGACTTAGGGACTGCTACTAAAGAATCCAACGGACGCTGATCGTGAGCATTCATCCCTAACTCCCCTCGGTGCTAAGACTCCCAACGACAAACATGCAATTAACTAATACAGTAATAGTTTGGTAATACTGAAATAATACTGGCTTTTGATGATAACTGAGTAGCTCATGAATCATGATTTAATTATTGATAATACTGAAAGACACCTTTATTTGAAAGTATCTAAAATCACGAAACCTGATAATATGCATTCTGAAATTACATAATTCTGAGTCATGAAAATACTTGTATATTGAGGGTTCATGAAATAACATTGAAAACATGGAATTATAGGTAAAATCGTGTAATTTAAAGGCTAATCATGAAGAGGAACTGAATATTCTAGAAAAACCCAGGTTGTAGAGAAATCATAAACTTGAAAATCTGAGGTTTCTTTGGAACTCAATGAACTCCATTGATGAAATTCCACATACCTGGAATGGACACCTTGACTTGAATTCTTGAAGCTTTGGAACTCTAGTTCTTGCTTGAGAGGAAACTTGAGAGAGAAAATCTAATTTGGGGAGTTGTGCGTGAAAGAGGAGGGTTTAGGTTACTAAATTCCCCTTCATCCCATTTAGAATAGGTTAAAACGACATAGCATAGGGATTAAAAGAGTGGGAAAAAGCCAAAACGGCCCTGACTGAAACTGACTTAGCCAGGGTTCTACGAGGCCATCAATGGTCTGTGGTTCCATCTACAGACTGAGAACCCTGTTCGTAGAAATTAGAGAAAATTTGAGTTTCTAAAGTTTGATTTTAGGAGTCCAATCTGTGGTCCATAAAACGTTCTACAACCTGTAAACCAGGCTCGTCCTGTTCAGGCTGAATTGCCAAGTTTTTGAACTTGATCTACATCTGTCTTAACTCGTAGATCTCAGACCACTTTTCCCTGTTTCTGAAGTTTGTTTACGACTACCATCGGCGATACGTAGTACCTTTTAAAGCCTGTAGATGGCGCTCCTAAAACACAGAATTTCTGCAGACTTTGGAATGATTCTGAGTTTCTCCTGCTCTGATCTGAGCTAGGAACTTTTGGGTGTTACAAGGAAGTAGTGACATTGGTAGCATTGAGAGTAATTTCGGACTATGTTGCCCAGACTCTTCAAATATATCAATGGGTGCGTGGGGCATCCTCAAAAGTAGTGCATTTTTGGAGAATCCTGACACGGTTGCGGCAATATTTTTTGAGAGCCCGATCAACATAGGTTTTAGAAGCGCTGTTGTTTGCTAGAGTTACTTAGATTGTTGGAATAACAATGGTATTTGATTGCATTGGGCATCGGCAATAGTTTAGGAAGCAATCTTGTTTGATGGTTTCTTAGATTTTTGGGAGAACAAATTATTTAGGGTGGGGTTAGGCATTATTTCTTAACTTAGAGAATGCCAAACGTATATTTACCACTTCTCCATTAATATTAATTACTTAATTATAGGCATATACGCTCTCCGGTCCATTTTAATTGTCGTGCTTACTAATAATAATTGGTCAAAAATAGTTGTCATTTTAGAAAATCAAGATATAATTAATTATTAATTTTCACTTCTACCCTTAATAAATATGGAGAGAGATTAATGTGCTGAAAAAGAGTAGTATAAACTATAAACTACAAGTTTATGCACTCACTTGTAGATTCGTTAATTACGTATTTTATTAAGTAGACCATGTGTAAAGATTTTGTTGATGGATTATGGTGAGTTTATCTAATGGAGCAATATAGATCTTGATACTCACTCATGTTTTGAGCCAAATTTTCGTAAAAGTTTGAGAATTTTTTCATTTGGATGCATGTTTGCCCTCTTAAAGCACTAATTATATGTTGTGAATGTTCCAAATCAGTTTTATTGGTTGTTTCCTAATGCTTTCACCACTTTAAATATTTTAACGCAAGGTTTTAGGTAACTTGGTGAACTTTAAGCAGACACAATGAAATCATGTTTCATCATGGTAGGTCTAAGACAAAAAAAAAAGGGATATAAAACATACATTAAGAAATGTTGATTTTACACAAACATGAAACATACATTAAGAAACATATTATTGTATGTCAGAACTTAGTGTCTCTTTTCTTGTTTTGCCATTTTGATTTTGCTCGTCAATGTTGATTTTACACAAATTTTGGATGTATTTCATCAATTGCTGCCTAAATGTATTGCTTTATACTTTCTGCCTATAGATGTATACTGGACTAAATGAACAGTAAAAAGATTTCATGACTACCAGATGTGGCAGAACAATTTAAATGGTGATACATTGAGACTATCTGAATGATATATATTTAAATTTGCTGTTGACAGGGGGCAAGGCAAATGTATATGACTCACCTTCGTCCTTTCCTCTTGAAGCATCAAGCCAGGCTGGACCAAGTAGTTGGATTTTTGTATGGTCAAATGGTAATCATTAAACTTGATCTTCCTATTTCCCCCCTTTTTTCCCTTTCTTTCTTACTTTTTGGCTCTTGTTGGTTTCTTTCCTCTTCTTGTGGGGGCAAGGGTTGGGAGCTTGTGTCTTCGAGTTAGACGTTAGAGGAAGGAATTACGCTCTTAATTGATTCATGTTTGGTTGATCATGAGCTGTGATGGCATCAGATCTGCACCCTGGTCTGGAGCAGTTTGATATAATACTTTGGTTTTAGATCTTATGATCAGTATCGATTACCTGGTTGACTCTTTAGTTTTCTTAAGCTAATCACCTGTGCAAGCTGCTATTTTTGCAATGTCATTTGACCTGCACTCTTCCTGGCCTTGCAGTCCAAGTTTGTTAGCGTGCATCAAGCTGAAATCAAGTTCGTGAGAGCACTTCTGATGAGGACCTTCGTATCAGGTAGCCAAATAAGTACACTTGGGACTTGCTACTATTCCGGGTGTTAGATATGAATCGTTCCTTTCATGTATCACCTGTTGCTTAATTAATTATTATATACTTCAATCACTAATGTCCTTTTGGTTAAAGTATACAAAAAAATAAGTTTGTGGTGTTCATTTACATATTTATGTGCTTACCAGTTTTCTTTTTCTTCTTATCAGCAAACCAGTTTGCTTCAGGTTTTATTCACCCTGAGCGAAGGCACGTGAGTGGTGCAATTGAAGGACGAAGACAGCAAATTGACACTTCTGATTCTGACGATGAGGAGTGATGCTTAACTCAAGAACCACTTGATCATTGCAATGGTTTCCTTAGAGAATAGATCTATTCTGCAAAGCGAGTTTCACAGTATGAATTTCTAGGGATCTTACGACTTCCCAAATTGATTTTCCGGTGATTTTGTACATAGTTGCTTCCCCTTTGTTCAAGATCCATTAGCTTAGTTGTTCAATTGCTGCTAGGATTTTTTCACCCTTCATCCTTTAGGTTGAAATAATTACTACTAAGTAGTATACTAGCAAGTAGCAAACGGTTTTATTTGTATATGTTACTGTGCAGATGTATGTGCTTCTAATTCTTCTTTTTTTATTGTCACTAAATACTATAAGAAATATGACACAATGATCATAAACTATATGTTGATAAAAAGGTTTAGAACTGCTACAGCTACTTATTTCACCAAAATTGATTTGGACGTTTTATTTGACAATTTTTCTCATACCGAATACTTTTGCTTTTTGTTGTCTTATCATAGAGGCGTAATACCTAAATGTCTTTTAATTTGACTTTAGTTCAAATATATGACCTTCCAATTTTCGTGTGTAAAGTAAACATTTACACTCGTATAAAGTTGAACAAATAGATAAATGTGTTCTACGTGTCATTCTACATGACAATTAGAGTCCTTCATGGTGTTCTATATGCATTATGTCACGTAAGATTCATGTGTTTACTTATTCAAGTTTATACAAGTTTAAGTGTTTATTTATCTACATCCAAAGTTGACGAGACATAAATGTAAACTGAGGCCAAGTTAAACACATTTATGTATTATACTTATCATAGAAGGGTTTTTTTTTTTTTGAGAAATAAGAACAAAAATATCTTTATTCACCATTTAGGTCCTTTATTGTTTGATTATATCAAAGCTTTGAGAGGGGTCCATTCGAAAATACTCTGCGTTTTTATGGTGGTATGTCCACTTGCATTTTTAATAGGGAAAAGGGTAAAAAATATCCCTCAACTTTATTTTATTGGTTGACTATGCCCTTACCGTTAAAGTAAAGTTAGTTTTGCCCCTACCGTTACTAATTTCACCATATATATCCCTCATTTGACGGAAAGCCCCAAATCAACTCAAATTCATCCGATTTCAATTGAAATTACCCAATTGTCTATTTTAACCCAAACCCGACCCGCTATACTAAAGAAATTCATACCAATTAAATCCCTAGTTCATGTCTTCTCCTCCTTAGCACCACTTTCCCGATTTCCCCTCCCAAAATAACGAAGTAAATTCACGAGATCAAAGATTGTTTCAATCTAATTTTACAAGCTTAGTGTTCTTTTGAAAAACAAGATTTCAAACCCCTTTTTTTTATGCAAAAAAGGAAAACATTTTCACTATCACTGAATCAGTATTCATAAATACAACAACTAAATCCATTAACTAATATCATATATCAAGCACATGCACATGGATTATCAACGGCGATCTCATCGAGTTTCACTTACCGCCGACGATCAGAAAAGTGTAAAGAAGGGGAGCATTACGGATCCAATGCCTCTAGTGCCACCGCCCACCAGTGACAAGGGCATTCATGCCATTAAGGGACCATCGATTGGCATTTTCGGCACATCGAATTGAGCTGCACTTCTTCACAGTGGCGGATCTATGAAGAGGTGTGGGGGTGCCACGCCACCCCCGAACTTCGACGGAAACTCTATATATACATAGGTATATATATATATATATATAATATTTTATATAAATATAAAGCGTGCCACCCAGAGAACAAAATTGGCTTGTGGTGCCACAGTTGGAGGGCAACTTTACAAGGCTGATGTTGCGGGTTCGAATCATATTTGTACCTATTTTTTTGAGAAATTTGCTGCATGCATTTTTTAAGAAAAAAAAAGGCTCCAAGCACGTTTTTTTAAGGAAAAACAGCTGGCACAATTTTTCTTTTTATTTTTTATAATTGTTATTGACTTAAATTAAATTAATTACATTATTACTCCTTTGACTTTTCTTTTATTTGATTAAATATTCAATAAAAGTGTAATATCTTATTATTTATATTTTATTGATTGATTTATGATATATATCGAAAAGACAAATAAGTTTAATCAAATATAAAATTAATTTAATCGATAAGTCTATTTGGCACCCATAAACTCTAAATTCTGGATCCGCCACTGCTTCTTCATCCATGGCCTTATTGTTATACAGGGTTTTGGAATTTGAAATTTGAACTTGAACTTGATAGAAGCAGTGTGTGAAACCAAGACGGATTCCCACATATTTTTCCCGATTTCCCTTTGTTTTCCAATACTTTCGAAAATATGGTCACTTATTGAAATATCATTTGATACAATTTTCCGACGGCGGAGGGTAATTCCTCTTGAAATTGGCAGAGATAATCCTGAATCGTTGACGACGATCTTTCATGTACTGATAAAATAGGGCGAAGATAAAACAAGTGAGTAAAGTAATTGCATAGCTTCCATGGAAATTGATTTGAGCTACTGATTTCTGAGATGTTTGATTGAAGAAATCAAGAATCAAATCAATCCCAAATTCTAATAAAAATAATAAAATGAAAAAAAAAGAGGAACTGAAAGAAGAAGAAGAAGCAGTAGTATTGAGGTTGGAAGCTAAGAAATGGTTTCTTTAAAGTGTTCTTTTGAGAATGGGAAAGAGAAATGAGTTAAATGTATTCAGAGGAGTCGGGGCATGGGTTTATTTACAGATAAAGAAACAAAAATAGAAAATCGGGTTTGGATTAGATATGAAGAAAATGAAGGAGATGAATAATATTAGAGAGATGGGATTGGGTTTTAATTTGGTATTTCCTTAATTCATTAGGTTTAGTGGGTCGGGTTTGGATGAAAAGAGAAAATCGGGTCATTTTAATCAAAATTGAACAATTTGAGTTGATTTGGGGTTTTCCGTCAAATGAGGGGTATATATGGTGAAATTATTAATGGTAGGGGCAAAACTAACTTCACTTTAACGGTAAGGGCATAGCCAACCAATAAAACAAAGTTGAGGGGTATTTTTGACCCTTTTTCCTTTTTAATATGTTCACGTGAACCCAATTAAAAGTCAGATATTATTGAGAAGGTTTTTAAAAAAATAAATAAATTGCAAGATTGCATTTTAATATTTTGATTTAATAAATGATCATCAAAACTTATATGCCTATTTAAATAGCGGAAAAGGGCCTAAAATACCCTTAAACTATTGGAAATGGTACAAAACTGCCCTACATCCACCTATTGGCTCCCAAATACCCCTAACATCCACCTATTGACTCTCAAATACCCCTGACATCCACCTATTGGCTCCCAAATACCCTTTCATCAACCTTCGGGTCTAATATTGACCACTTTTGTATCGGATTATCATTTAAACAATTTTTTTAAATACCTGGCGACCATTTATTGACTACAATTTAATTACTTAAATTAATTTACAAACTCATCCATTATACTCGATCCAAATTGTCTACACTTGACTCAAGTGAATTATACCTGACTCACTCATTATTAATTATACACGACCCAAATTAATTAATTACACGCGTCTCAAATTATATTTATTCACCGATTAAAACAAATACACCCTTTATTCCCAACATTTCACTTCCTCTTTCAACCTTACTTCCCCAATATATTCGCTTACAATCTCAAAAAACACTACCTAAATACACTCATGTATCACCATAAAAAAATATGAGTGTTTTGGTAATTTCTTATGGTGATACATATGTGTATTTAAGTATTGTTTTTCGAGATTGTAGGGGAATATTTTGGGGAAGAAGGTTGATAGATGAAGTGAAATGTTGGGAATGAAGGGTGTATTTGTTTTAATCGGTGAATAAATATAATTTGAGACGCGTGTAATTAATTAATTTGGGTCGTGTATAATTAATAATGAGTGAGTTTGTAAATTAATTTAAGTAATTAAATTGTACATATCCAATATTTGGTCGCCACGTATTTCAAAAAAATATTTAAATGATAATCCATTATAAAAGTGGTCAATATTCGACCCAAAGATGGATGACAGGGGTATTTGGGAGCCAATAGGTATATGATAGGGGTATTTGGGAGCCAATAGGTGGATGTAGGGTAATTTTGTACCATTTCTAATAGTTTAAGGGTATTTTAGGCCCTTTTCCGTTTAAATTGTGATAATATTTTTCTTTGTCTAAAATCGAGAGGTATCAGTTTTCTTATATGCTCGCAAAAGAAGCCACTAGTACCATTATTCCTTTATTTTGATGGAGTATTTATAAAACTTATCAAATTAGGTTGTATGATAATTATGTGTCTAATAACTTTTCATACAATTTTGATGATAAAAATTAGCTTCACATTTTGAAAGACTATTTGAAGAATGAATAACGTTATACAATTTTACCCCAATAATAGTAATTATTAGTATTAATTTACTATTTTGTCTTTCCATACTCATATTTATACATTTAACCACTTATATCTTTTTCGACATACGGTAAAATCTCTCTAAATTAATATAGGCAGGACCATAAAATATTATTATTTTGTAGAGGTATTATATAGTCGAATTTAAAGAGTGTTTCGACATCGAAAAAATTGTTTAGAGATGAAATCTCAAAGAATTTGAAAGAACCCACTTGTGAAAGCGTCATTCATGAACTTGAGGTCATGATTCCTGATCTCGGTTACCGCAATAAAATGGACGTTAATAACCTATTAGATGGGTGAAAATGATACATGTTCAGAGTTCCAGAGCTTAGAACAAATTGTGGATATCATTGGAAAAATAATGTTGATGATAAAGTTGAAGATGATACAATACCTTTGAAAACAATTACGCGTAAGAAAACACTTATCACATCTAGAACTCTTCACAATTTTATGGTGCAATTAGAAAAGACAACATCGAAACTTTTGAATGTAATAAGAAAAGTTAGAAATGAGCTTCAACTAGATTTAAATTTTAACAAAAAATAAAACATAATAAAATCATATTTCACTAAATCTTTTAGATATATCTGTACTTTTAAAGAATTATTAATTTATAATATTAATGGAACAATATATTTATATAGGGGTCTTCTGAAAATATATTATCTTATTATCTTATCGAAATGAGTAATTTTTTTCATTGACCCAAGTCGAAACATGAAAAAATTATTACCTTAGAGAGATTATTAATTAACCAAGTTTTAATTTAATGAGATTTTAGTGTAGTATGCACTATTACAGAATAGGGTAGATTTCATGACTTTTCATCCAAAGTCTGTTATTTTACCTCAGTCATAATTATAATAAATTTATTGACTTGAAATTTAAATATAATATCTTACACATAAAAAAAAAATGTTTAGACCATAATTTGATGGGATTTAAATTAAAGATTTTGTTATTATATTGTATTAATATGATAGGACTTGAATTCACCGACTTATTCCCAAATTATTATGATGACTTTTAGTGAATATCAGACGACGTGAACACTTTAAGAGCCAAAATTATTAATTTACAAAGAAAAAACATATCAATAAACATAGAAAAAAAATCAATTAACAAAAAAAAGGAATGAAAGCAATACTATCTGATGACTCTCTTTGAATCCAAATATTTAAAAAAAAAAAGAAAAAAGAATGAAAGCAATAAAATAAGCACTAATAATTAATATTTGTTTCTGTGCCATACGTATACTAATTACCTTCGCCACTGACATTTAATATTATTTTTTTAATACGTTAGAAAATATTCAGAAGAAATTTTTGATGCAGTGATGATACAAACCTTTTCTTCTCACTTGACAGAGCCACAATATATAGCAAATGTTACTCCTGTGGAAGGCTTAAATTATTTAAGTTTCGTATCGATAACATGTTATTAAATTAAGAATAAAATAATATATAGAAAATAATATAAGATAAAAAGATTTATATAGAGCAATATAGCATTAAAGCAAAATATTAGCAACATATCGAATTAATATCTCATATGGTCATCCAACTTTTAATAGTTCACTTAGAAAGTCACTCAATTTTGAGCTGTTTACTTCGAAAGTCACTCAACTTTGTTTAATAACTCAAAAGTCACTTAACTATTAATAGTTTACTTAAATAGTCACGTAACTATTGATATTTTACTTAAAAAGTCACCCAACCAATTTAAATTATTTTTTTTATTGAATTTTGTAAAATACAAATTTTTTTTAAAACTATTTTTTAAAAAATTAATAAGATGCCTATTTTAATTATTTTATTGAATTTTGTTGAAGTATAATTTTTCTTTTTACCTATTTTTTTTAATAAAAAAAGTGGTACTGTGCTGCGTATTTTTTATTACTTCTTATCAATTCCAACTTCTTCTTTTTTGGATCATTTTTTAACATATTTAATTCCAGTTATATAATTGCTAAAACGGAAAATATTTTTCTGGGGTCAATTGCTATGGTACGATTTTCAAAAAAATTATAATTAAATAATTTGGATTAACAAAATAATTAAAATAAATATCTTATTATTTCTTTAAAAAAATAGTTTAACATAAAAATTAAATTTCACTAAATTTTTATGAAAAAAATATTTAAATTAATTGAGTGAGGTTCTAAGCGAAATATCAATAATTGTGTGATTTTCTAAGTGAAATATCAATAGTTAATTGAATTTTGAATTATGAAACAAAGTTGAGTGAGTTGTAAGTCAACAGCTCAAAATTAAGTGATTTTCTAATCAATAATTCAAAATTAAGTGATTATATGAATCTGAGATATTAACGGGTTACATATCTTATGGTACAATGATGACACTGCTTCATTCTTAATCAAGGTGTTCAGTTTGAGTCCTGGTTGGGGCTCGAATGTGGTAGTTAAAATTGTCATTCATTTTTGTGGAGTTGGTGGAAAAAAAAATAGAAGTTAGGAGATTTTGACATCAAGGGGAAGGACTAGGGGAGGCTCTCAATCCACCAACCGACACTACAGAGTCCCTTTTGTGTTTTTTTGTTAGCTGTTCATCTTTTCTTTCTCAGCTCACCTTTTTCTCTTTCAGATCACTCAAGATTTTCATCCTTAATTTCAGGTGGGTTCTCAATCTTTTTGTTATATGAGATCTGTATTGGAAAGAAATGGGTTTTATTGATGTGGGTGATTTCTAGATTGGAGAGTAGTTGTTATTATGTGATCTGTAGTTGGATCTGTTTGGGTTCTTTGTCTCTTTTCAATTTTGAGTTGATTACTAGCTGTATTATGTATAAAAGTTTCAATCTTTATGCTTCTGTTGGGTTATATTTTGTCCTAATAAAACTTGTGAAGAAGAAAAAAATTGTTTTTAGGGGGGGGGGGGGGGGATGAACAAAGCAAGTATATGGTTGGAATTTGGTCTTTAATTAGCTTGATTTTTGTGTCTTTAATCTGAAGTTTACTAGAATTTGTTCTCATTGATTCAGACAATCCATGATGTTTCTGTTATTATGGGTCTTTCCAAAAAGAGAATATGTTGTGTTTATTGAGGGAGTTGACTATCTCTTGGTTTGCGAACATGATTAGTTTTAGTGCTATTGTTTCCTTCTTGTATTGAAATGAATTGGCTCGAATGGACTTTCCCTGGATCCTGTTAATGCAGTAAGAGTGATTCTTTGTGTACCCTTTGGGGTGAGGACCTTCCCTGGATCCTGTTAATACAGGATGCTTTGAGCACCGGCTGCCCTTTTATAATAGCACTACGAGGGAGCTAGGAAGTTGCAAAAAAGAATAAAAAAATCTTCTCTTCAACTATGCAGAAAGTCTATAAGCTCCATCTTGATGTCGAAATCATGAACAGCTTTCGTGTTGCACAAAAAAAAGTACTGTCTTAGCAGTTGAACTTTACAAAAGATGAGGAAGAACATCTACCTTCTAAACATCTGTGTGGATTTGTATTTGTTGAACCTAACTAGTTTGGAATTGAGGGATAGTTGGCTGATTGATTGAGTTTTTCGGAATTTTGATGAGCTAGAACTAAGAATCAGATACATGACTTCCCATCGGGGAAAAAAAATAATCAGACACATATATCCATAATGGCTGTATGAGTTCACAGTAGTTAGTTACCCTAGATGATCGTCAAGAGTTTATCCATTTTCTTGTATAGGACAATCACTTAGTGAGAGAAAAGTGAAATCTCCTTCTCCATGAAGTCTGGAAAGCTCTTCTGCTTAGATGTGGAAAGGAAAATCCTTAGGTTACCTTTTTCCTTTTGAAATGAGTTCATATAAATCTTGTTCTCGCTATTTACGAGCAGTGTAAGTATTTGCAAAGGACATGAGTTTTGATTCTTAAGACAAATTAAACAAACTGTTGGTAGTGTTGCTTTGGCTTGCAACAATTAATTCTGTGGACTCTGCTTGGAACCGTCGAGAATAATGGGCAGATTATCAGAGAAGCTGAGCAAGAGAGTTTTACCTTTCAGAATGATCAAAGCATGCTTGGAGATTTTCCAGCTGATAATGTTGCACTTTCTATTAAAAGACTTCCAAAATTTATTTCTAATTCAGTCTTTACTAATCTCTTCACTACTAATTCCTATTATTACTAATTTGTGCACTACTAAACCTTGCATTGTAGTCCCCGAGTGTCATAGGACTCAATAAGATTTTGAGTGTTTCACTCTTTTGATTCTTGAACAATCAAAAGATCACAAATAACCAATTCACTATTTCAAAATTTTCAAATAAACATGCATATGCATTTTCTCTATGACCAAAGATGGCAATTTTAAAGAGAATCTTAGAAGTAATATAACCAAAAAGCTATAGATACTAAAGAAAGAACTACAGTAATTTATACCAAAAATAAACAAACAACTAACATCAACTCCATGACTCCATTATATGCAGAACAAAAAGAACTCTGATACTCAGGAACCCTCTAGGCAAAAAAAAATTCTGGTCTATGTGGATTGTTGACTGCATCACATCTTTTGAAGATTCATACCTATCAGTTCCTTTTCTAGTTTCACATTACAATCAGAGTGAAACATGAAATTGGTGGAGAAGATAGTAGACGAGGAGGTTATGGTTTTTGTACATTATTAGAGGTTCGGGACTTATCCATGATAACTATCTACCTATAATTTGAAGTTCTTAGTAAAGGAGAATTACGTGCTATTGTCAATGTATAGATTTTTGTTCACTTTTTCTGAAGGCTGATAACTGTTTCTGTTTCCTGATGCGACAGGTTATGATATTTATACACTGTTTTGTTCACAACTTTGTATTTCATCTCCTTTACCCCTCCTCTTAACCACTCTTTCTCATTTTTTAATTGCATCTTGGGTAGCTGGACAATTAAATTCGAGCATCCTGTTCCTCATAATGCAACTGCCCTTCTGATTTGCTGACAGGTTTCTTTATTCAAGGATTGTGCATATGGATCACGAGACAGGCGCATCGTTGGATTCTGTGCCTTCAGATAATATGAGTTGTGAGCATGGTGATTTTGAATGCAATATCTGCTTTGAAATAGCTCAAGATCCTATTGTGACTCTTTGCGGCCACCTTTATTGTTGGCCTTGTCTTTGTGAATGGTTGCAAGTTCATTCACATTCCCACGAATGTCCAGTTTGTAAGGCTCTCATTGAAGACCAGAAGTTAGTTCCTATATATGGTCGAGGCAAGACAATCTCTGACCCAAGGTCTCACATACGTCCAAGGATGAACATTCCTAACCGTCCAGTATTTGGGCCAAGACCACAAACAGCTCCAACACTAGATATGAACTATTTCCGACCTGATGAGTTGGATCAAATGGGGGGATTTATGCCTATGGCCAGTGCAAGGTTTGGAAACTTGACATTATCTACTCTATTTGGAGCTATTCCATCTTTTTTTAATCTTCATGTGCAAGGATTTCATGACGCTACTGTATACGGTGCAACGACGGGAGTTCCATACCTCTTCTCTAGTTCACTTCATGGGGGTTATGCTCATGGATTTCATCATTCAATCCATGTAGATGGTACAAAGTTTTTTATTAAGATGTTTCTCTTGATTGTCGGTTTCCTCTTGGTTGTTTCCTTAATTTTGTAGAGAATCCCATAAATTAAGATGTAGAATTGTTAATCATGTGTGTATACATCTTTAGAGTAGTTGACTTATATTTATGTCTAGCAAAGCAGGGGCCTCAGTTATTAGCCTTAGGTATTTCCTTATTGTGCCATATTTTTGTCCTATAAAATCTGATGTTTTGAGTTAACTTGTCAAACATGGTAAAATGATTTGTTATAGCAGGTAAAATTGAATCTCCAACATATACATATCGAAAATGGCAACTAAATAAAAATTTGTTCAAATAAAAACAATGTCTAGCTAGCTAAGACTAACAACTTAATAAACAGAAAAGTCAAGTTTCTGTGTGTTGCTGTAATGGCAAAACAGAAGATCTACAAATTGGACAATTCTTCTTTCCCCTCAGCAGCCATTTCTGTATGCAAGTTGCATGATATTCGTGTCCACAATGGAGTGTACCAATTGTGTCATCATATACATATTCAGATAAACATATGGAACATATCTCTTCTGAATCAACTTTATTAACACAATGACTTCTTTTTTTCATCATCACAATTTCCTCCTCCTCCTCCTGGTGGTGGCCTACTCCAGGTAGATCAAGCAAAGCTGTATAATCAAATGGCTGTCCGCTGAGACGACTGCCAAAGTTGCGATCAAGGTTTTGCATTGCGACTATTAACTGATTGACATCATGAGTTATGACATAGGCTTGATCAATGAATTGATGATAAGTATATGGATCCCAGAAAGCAGAAGAGTAGTTATGTGGAGCCAAGTGATTACCAATTGTATTTCTTGAACGGTGAGAGGAATTTCTTGAGCGATGATTGTGGGGTTGTGAAAGATGAGGATTTGTGCGAAACAGAGAAGCAGCATCATCAGTGACAAAGACACCATCAATGTATTGGCCGTCTGTGAGAAACAGAGCACGATCCGAATTCATATTCATCATAACAACAAACAGAGAGAAACAAGATTAAGTTGGGGTTTTGCAGAATGAAGAAAAGAGAGCTGCAAATATGAATTCACTAGCAAAAGCACACACATATATATAGACGAGATAAAGGCTGGTTGAGGGTTAAGCGCATTCTATAACGGTAATATAAATTGATATGGTTACCATAATATTTCCTTAAGTAATAAATTGACACGGTTAACAGAATGTTTCCTTAAAAAATAAATTTACACGGTTGCCATAATGTTTCCTAAACTAATAAATCCACACGGTTACCATATGATATTTAGTAGGAAAAAAAAAACTAAAATATACAAATTAATTACCTTAAATACCCAAATATACTCCACATTAAAGGACACGTAATACAAGGAAATCAGAAAAAAAAAATCACTTGAATACAAAAAGTAATTATTTTGTTATGTATGTAATTTAAAAACTATGTTTGTAATCATAGCATATTCATTCATATTATATTAAAAGTGGGAAGCCACAAAAGTAAAAGTTGAAATACTATTTTACCCTTATCTTAATTCAAAATGTTATAAAATATTTAAGCAATTAAATATTAAATAATAATTATATCATATTATATTAAATACTAAAAATGAAAATGTGTTTTAAAACACATTTTAAGAATGTCTCTCCATTCTCCAACATAACTTTTGAGCTTTCTACAGAATTCTAGGCAAATTTTTGACTTATAAATATCATGTGTATGAGGTAAAATTATTATTGGCAAATACATAAGCTAATTTGCCTTTCATAGCTCAGAAGAAAAAAGAAACTGATTTCATCAATTACAGAAAAATGCTTAAGCATGGAGATCACAGATTAAGGTAGAAGGTTGTAGTGGAATGTTCTCTTTCTTTCTGAAGGGTTTAGACTTAGTGGTGTCTATCATAGTAGTACTTTTATTCTTGTACTGTCTTTCTTTTGCTTTCTACACTAATTGTTTTTATGGTGTTTCAATTATTGCACCTTTTTTTGTTGTTATTATTTTCATAATAGTTGTTATATTATATTATTTTCTCTTCACTGTCATTTTTCTTTTTCATATTTTCTCTGATTTGCTATACTCGACTCAAGTTGTGGGTCTTCTGAATTGAGGTAAGATCTGTGCACACTCTACACTCCCTAGATGGATTTCACGAGATATGTTATTATTATAAAAGAAGTAGCTATAAATCAGACAACACATTTAAACGTTTGGGCTGAATTGATAAATGTACATCTATTTTGCTTTGTTAGCAAGTTTTGTTGAGAAATATGTTTATTCATCTTGTTTGATAAGTTAGTGATAGTTTTTAAGATTTCTTTTGTCGTTAAATTTCAATTCTCTTAGTTAATTCAGTATTTAGAGTTAGAGCTATTTACATGCATTTACAGTAATCTAGAGCATGAAATTCAGACGACATATTTCTATATACCATTATTGGGCTATATGATGTTGACTTTCTTCACATATTTATTGTTAGATGGTAACTGTGATTGTCCGCTTTTTCAAGTTTATTTCTTTTTAGCAAATAAATAACTAAAGTAATGAATTACAGTAAACACAATGCAAGTTCAAATTTTAAATTCACAAATTTTAAATGGTGTCTCCGTATCATATATATGAGTGTGTGTGTGTGTATATATATATATATGTGTGTGTATATGTTATGGTGTGTGAAGCAATGAATATGATGTCAAGCACCGCTGATAAATTTTGTCTCTACTTTTGTCAGTACTTATTATGGAGAAAAATATGATGCATACTTCGTTATAGATAATTTGCAAATTATAAGATTTGTCAGTGCAATTACTTCCCTCTCATGGTCTGTGCCTTTTGTTTTTCCTCTTTAAACTTGTAGCTTTCAAATTCTGAATATGGATAACCTATTGATTCTATATTTATTTTCTATCTATAATCTATATGAATAAAGTCTTGCGAATGATGGTATGTTTTATTTTTCTTCTATTTTTTGTGTGCCTTTTCTTTTATGAACTTTTTTTTATCATTATCATAAGTATGTATTGTTATTTGGTTCAAATTAGTCATGTGACTTTATTGAAAGTGTGTTAACTACTAAACAAAGTTTAAAAATTACCGATAATAGCTTCAACGAAATTGATTTACCGATGGTAGCTTCAAAGGAATTGATTTTAAACATTACAATGTGTCCCTCATTTGGTGTTTCTAGACACACATTAAAAAAATATTACTCACTTCACACGATTTGCATAAAATTTTAATTGTTCTAACGAATCTAGAAAAATTCACATGGAACACACGTGCAACGCACGTGTCCAGAGACTAGTTAAATATAAGTGTATTGATATTTTGTTAATTAAAGTCTTAAGTTGTATACTTTTGTAATTTTTCCTATTTAGTACTAGCTTTAGTAAAATATTTGTATTTTTCAAATATATTGTTGATTTCTTTTATCATGAAAATTTATATTCCCGTGTTTTAATTTATTTGTTTTAGTTACTATTTGGACTATCAAAATGGTATTTTCTTTGACCATAATATTTTCAAATACATTGTAACTACATACCATAGATGGAATCCCTAGTCCTACAACATTTTGATGTCTACAAATGTCCCTTGCGTCAAGGGCTGTCGGAGTGTAGGCTTGATGATACTCAAAAACAAGGCTTGAAGTATCCATAGAAATAGAGCTATCATCTTTGCAGTTTTGTGGCTTTAGATTTGCCTATTTGATTTGTGAGAGAAGATATGAAGATCGCACAAAGTAGGCTTCAGTTGCGCGACCGCACACCAACTCCGAAGTTATTTAAGTCTTCTCTTCTCTTCACGTTTTAGGAGGGGTGTTTTTGTCTTTTCCTCATCTCATAATCCTAATCCATGACTATTAACTTTCCCCAAAAGTCATATTCTAGGAGATTTGATAAGTTACGACAAACTCTTCTTCTCTTCTTCCCCAACCCTTCATGAAGCAAGATCTAAGGCTAATTCTCAAAGTCTCTTTCCTAAGTTATTCTTCAAAAGGTATGTTTGAACACTCCCTACTTCAAACTACTAATACAAGATTCATATTTACTAAATAACGAATTGAGGTAAGGGTTGAGAGACAATTTTATGAAAATTGATTACAAATGTTCCTCTCTTGTTAATTGTGTACAAATTACTTTATTATAATTTCAGAATTCGGATTGTTGGTTTTGAATGGGTGAATTGCCTCATATGATTTACAAAAAGATTTTTCCTATAAATAGCAGATTTGAAAATCTATAAGTCTTTTAAGAAATTTGGTTTAAAATAATAAACAAAGGGTAATTTTTCATCCCGATTAAATGCTAATGATTTTGCATTTGTTGTCTTATAACTTCGAAAGACTTGGATGTTGGCATTGAATAAAATGTTTTAACATAAATTAGTCTTTTATTTTCAAAGGACGGGTTAAGAGTTTTAAATGGTTGATTATGAATTTTGGTATGGTTGCAATGACTTGCAGGACTTGTTATGATGATACCAATGGGAATATGCCTTATTTGAATAACTCTTAATAAATGAAAACTTGTAAATGTTTTAATTGGAACTTAAAGAGAGTTTGGTACTATCACCGAGAAGGTGTAAAGTCCTTGTGACTCATCACCCGAAACTGCGTTTATCAACATGGGAGGTCCCTTTCCTGCAATATGGATGACCATGGTAGGTTATTAATCGGAGCAACCTTTGCAGTCTTTTCTTTGGGAGAGTTTGGTTCATCGGGTTCTTATATTTCTCAAATTCATGCGGCATACATGGATTAGTCCCCTCGGTCAGAAGGAGACCGGACCCATATAGCCTATGGGTCACATTATATCGGTGAACACTTCCTTACTCAAGATTAATGATTTTTTCAAAGGTCTATATTTAAATGCTTTGAGTCTGCCCTTATGATTTTGTTATATATATGTCTAAATCCCTCGGTTGCATGTTAGTACTCATTGTACTTACCGTCCTTAAATGCTACATCGTTTTATGATGTAGGATGAGAAACACAAGTTCGTAGTTCCAGGCAATAGTAGATCATTGAGGTATAACAATGAGCATTGTGGTGAGCTTTCCATCTTCCGGAAAGTGAGTTGTTCTTTATCTATCTTTCCTTTGATTTCATGATATGTCGGGGGCCATGTCTC